GTTGCCTGAGCACATGCACGTTTATGGGACAGCTATTTGTTCTTCAGCTCCAAACTTACTTTCCTCCCAGCCCCTCTTTTCCAGCGCATTCTTCTTCCGCAAGCCCTTTGTCTACCAGGGAATCATTCCTGCTGTACATGTGCCCTGGACCTGGTACACAACAATGTCTTTTTTAAAAAAATCATTCAATTATTTTGTGGTACTGGTGATTAAACCCTTCACAAGGAGCCCTATCCCCAGCTCTTTTTTTATTTTTTATGTTGAGACAGAGTCTAAATAAATCCCAAGCAGGGCTCAAACTTACGATCCTCCCAGAGCGCTGGGATTATAGGTATGTGCCACCATGGCCAGTTTATAGCACTGCCTTGTGAATATTTTTCCTCTAGCTTAGCTGCTTTCTGTTTGTCAGGTTGTTAATCTTTGGCTGAATGTGCAGGGCACGTTTCACGCTTTTTGTTTTTTGGTATCTTCGATGGAGAGGCCTGGGAGTTCACCTTTGATCTTTGGGCGATTCTTAGAGTAAAAGAGGAAGAAGGCAGACTGGTCTTTAGGGATCGTTTTTCTTTCCCTTCTTATCACCTTAGGGAGGAATGTAAGTTTCCCTCTCCCTGGCCTGGCCAGTGTGGTCCCTTTCTGCCTTATCTTGAAGCTCTGTCCTTTCCTTTACAGGCACGGTCTTCTATCTCTCGGACATTTCTCGGAGGATTTGCTAAAATTGACCGAAGGGTCTGGGTGTTTCTTCCTGCGCTTTGACCAGGTCTGCACAGTAGGGACACGAGGCCGTATCGCCCTCAGCTTGGTGGAGTCTCCTTTTCCACGGCAACAGAGCCATACCTGGTGGGAGATTTTCCTGAGTCTGCAGGGTGTCCAGGTCAGACAGCCTCTTCCTTCCCAGGGCTGCAGTGTAAACTAGTTTCCAGATTTTTAAATTAGTTTATTTAATATAAATCATGAAATACACATGAGTTGTGACTTTTTAGAAAACTAGTTCCTCTTTGACAAATAACTACAAATATATTAAAACTACTCAGAGCAGATCGACCAGGTAAGTATTCAAAAGAAGCAGGAAAGAGATGATAATAATATTAAATACTATTGTGATTTCTTGTACATGGTGATGTTCACCTATAATCATAGCACTCGGGGAGGCTGAGGCAAGAGGGTTGCAAGTTTGAGCCCAGCATGGGCAATTTAGTGACTTAGCAAGACCCTGTCTCAAAAAATTTTTAAAAAAGGACTGGGGACGTCGATTCTTGGCTTTTATTAAATCATGGAATCAAATAAATACACTAAGACTTAGTCCTTCCTGCCTTGAGTTGCATGAGAGCTTCCTAAATACCATTTCTTAAAACAGCTCAAAAGGCCAGGGATATAGCTCAGTAGCACAGTGCCTGCCTGGCAAGCGCAAGGCCCAGAGTTTGATTCCCGGTACACACACACACACACAAATGCTCAAAATGGGTGGGAGGGTTTGGTGGGTCTACCCATGGGAGCTTTAACTAGTTGAATCAGGTGGGCTCTCAAACACAGATTAGTGGTACCTGAAAATGGAGAGTTTGGGGCCAACTGGGTTTGGCAGAAACTTCAAATGCTTCAGAGCAGGCTGTAGGCCTTGGGCCAGCACCCCTGGAAAGAGGAGCCTTAAGCAAAAAGAAAGGAATTCAGGGAAAGAGGTAGGAAGATTTAACGTTTTTTTTTTTGTTTGTTTGTCTTTTTGAGACAGGGTCTCCCTATGCAGTTCAGGCTGGCCTTGAGCTTTCTTTGAAGCCCAGGCTGGTCTCAAACTCACAGTGATCCTCCTGCTTCAGCCTCCCGAGTGCTGGGATTACAGGCGTGCACCACCACGCCTGGCTTGTTTGTTTGTTTGTTTCAGATTTTTTTGTCTTTTTGAGACAGGGTCTCGCTATGCAGTTCAGGCTGGCCTTGAGCTCACTTTGTAGCCCAGGCTGGTCTTCAACTTGCAAGGATCCTCCTGCCTCAGCCTCCTGAGTGTTGGGATTACAGGCGTGCACCACCACACCTGGCTAAAGATTTAAAGTTTTTTTTTTAGCTTTGTTTTTTTCTTTTTTTTTTGGTACCAGGAATTGAACTCATGACCTCAAGCTTGCCAGGCCAAAGATTTAAAGATTTAATGGAACCAAATTTCAGAATTTGCATATTGTCTATCCTAGGCCTCTTAGAACAGACAAAACACTGCTGTTAAAATAGTCATCAAAAAAAAAAAATAGTCATCAGTTAAGTACTTTTTTTTTAAACCAGGAATTAAACTCAGGACCTCATGCTTGCCAGGTAGGCGCTATGCCACGGAGCTATATCCCCAGCCCCGATTAAGTATTTTTGGGGTCTGCCCTGGGGGACCTAAACACCATCCTCACATGCTAGTGGATTGGGTCAAATGAGATTGCAGTTCATTTTTAAATGGCTCAACTTGGTCTCTAAATAACTATACCAGAATGGGCTTCCAAAATCACTTGTTTTAGGGAGGTTGCTATGACCCTCCATATCTCAGCCACCCTCATCCATATCTGAATTAGGTGTCCTTATTTTTTTGTTTAATGACTGACAACAGGGTCTTCTATGTAGTTCAGGCTGGCCTTGGAACTCATAGAAATCCTCCTGCCTCAGCCTCCTGAGTGCTGGGATCAAAGGCGTGTGCCACCGCCCCTGGCTGCTTTTTCTTTTTTGATGCTCTTGTATTATAGGCTTACTCTTATTGAAGAGTTTATCTTACTGCATTTAAATTGTTCCCTTCTCTCTCTCCAACCACCTACCCGGCTGTAAGCTCCTGGATTTCCGAGGCTGTGCCTTCTGTTATTCTGTCTCCAGTTTCTACTATAGCACCTGGCATGTAGTGGATGAAAGAATGGTCAGAAGCCAATTCATGCATCAGTAGGGATTTGGGCATTATGGAACCCACTCATTTCACTGGCAGGCCCAAAGCTTTAACAGCTGTGTGTCCTCCTGAGAAAAATCACATACACCTTATTCCTGACATTGAAACAGTGTCACCGTGGTCCCAGTGGATCAGTCCCACTGGTTTCTAATATGTAGAAGACCCTGTACATTTGCTCATCCAACCACACCTTCTAGATAAGTTGTTCTCCCAAGTTACTGATAACCACAACAGAATCCACCCTTCTGAGATCACCTTGAGTGCAAGTTCTCTAATGAAACCTTTCCTTCTCTCTTGCTGGATGTGAATTTTGTTCCTCTTCTTGTACTGAATAAGTTTCTTGAATATATTCTTAAATAGGTTTGTATCTACAGGACTGTATTCATTAGGGTTCTCCAAGAAACAACCAATAGTGATAAATGGAGGGACAGATGGATGGATAGATGATGGGTAGGTGGATAAATGGATGTATGTATGGGGAGCTGGCTGGCTGGCTGGCTGGATGGATGGGTGATGGATGGATGGATGGATAGATGGATGGGTGATGAACGGATGCATAGATGGGTGGGTGGATGAATGAATGGATAGATAAATGGATAGATGGCTGGCTGGATAGATGATATACATAGAGAAGGATGATGATAAACAGATGTTTATATTAAAGAATTGACATGTAGGGCTGGGGATATAGCTCAGTGGCATAAGCGCCTGTCTGGCAAGTGCAAGG